GGAAGAAGAAAAAAAAAGTATCTATAAGGATTTTTCTGATTATTCAACTGCTAATAATGGATTACAACTCCTGAAAAGAGAACTTAAACTTTTCAAGTACTAATGAAAAAGGGAGATAAGACTTCACCCTCAAGACTAATGCATTGTTAAAAAAAATGATAAAGATGCGTACCAAATTGTATAGTGAACTATTAAAACTTTAATATATAAATATTTCATAAGAGTAATGTTACATAACCACGATTTTTTACTATATTATGTCACAATTTCCTAAGTACAGGCAAAGCGACCGTCTAAGGCCTCCAATTTATATAAATCCTACATATATACCTAGTATGTCACTATATATAAAACCCCAACTCTAGATATAAAATTTATGTTATGCCCAAAAATTCAATCCAAATTTAAGAAGAGCTTAGCTAGAAGAAAAAAAAAACCCGCTTATTCAATAAATTCATTGTCTAGGCTAATTAACATATTTGAATAAAATTAAGAAATAAAATACATTGAGCTCAATTTCACATCTTTGAACTCTGAAAAAGAATTCCAAGTATGATGATTGATAATTTCTTTTAGTTTTGAATTTCATGCTTTGTTTTTTTGGGAAATTAGTCTTGATATTTTTCATTTTCAGTCAAGATTCACAATTTTGAAGACTTTTTTGGTGCATATGTGTAAGTAAATATGTATTATTATACTATAATTTGAGTAAAAAGTTTGTTTTATCCCTTTCTTGTTGTGTACAATATGAATTACATATGATATTTGTTGTTTTTTTTTTAAAATGTTACAATCTTAATTTTGAGTTCATATAATATTTTCTCAAAATTACCCTCATGGTAACAATAAATAGTATGAATGAATGTACATAGAAGATCGACTGTCACATTTTTGTGGTTCGTATAGGGCCTCCAAAACATTAGGATCGCATGACCTGGGGTGATGGCATGACATGCATGCAACTAAACAATGAAAAATTGTTCAGTCCAATATCGATCCCAGAACCATTTTCAGGCAAAACCTTAGCATGGTGAGACAGATATTTGCAATGCAGACCTTTTCTACTGAAAATGAACAAAGTCGGAGAGAGAGAGAGAGAGAGAGAGAGAGAGAGAGGACTTTATGAAATTGCATCATGACATGCATGCAACTAAACAATGAAAAATTGTTCAGTCCAATATCGATCCCAGAACCATTTTCAGGCAAAACCTTAGCATGGTGAGACAGATATTTGCAATGCAGACCTTTTCTACTGAAAATGAACAAAGTCGGAGAGAGAGAGAGAGAGAGAGAGAGAGAGAGATAGAGATGTGCAATAATAATGATGGTTGGTCGCTTTCTAAAATCAGTCTTCTCGTACAATACTCCAACCCAAACCTTTTCTGCAGATTCTCTCTATCTCCCTCTCCCTCTCATTCTTAATTTCTTTCTTTTTTGTTTTTGTTGTTCTTTTCCAATGGGAAGTAAAGGAAAAGAAATCAAAGGAAAGAGATTCTCCTCGTGACACGTGTCGTGATATTCCACCATATCGTCCTTCTGAATATCCCTTTTGTCTGGCGCAAAAATAAAGGAATATTCCCTTTTCCTTTTCCTTTCCCGTTTTCCAATTATGAATTGCATTACAATTTTACAGGCTACACCCAACATTAAAAATTGTGTTCAAAACAGAAACCGAGGTGCTAAAGAAAGCTCTGCCTGCCCCAGTTGCAATTGGCTCCTCTTTTTTGCTGAAATCCATGTAATGCCTATACCCTAGACCTAGTCCTACTAGGCTCTACTCCACTCTGTTTCTGTCTAACCAAATGACAACAACTTAATTGCAGCTTCAAATTGATTGATATTTTGTGGAGAGACAAATCGCTTTATCCCAATTTCATACATCAATTTTCCTTCAATCATATTGTGTTATGTTACGTCACGTGAGAAGAGAGATAAGAAACATGAGATACATGCGTTGCCTTCGTTACACCAAGTTTTCTTCACAAGATTGTTTTTTTCTGGAGAGAGAGAGAGAGAGAGAGAGAGAGAGAGAGAGAGAGAGATAGAGATGTGCAATAATAATGATGGTTGGTCGCTTTCTAAAATCAGTCTTCTCGTACAATACTCCAACCCAAACCTTTTCTGCAGATTCTCTCTATCTCCCTCTCCCTCTCATTCTTAATTTCTTTCTTTTTTGTTTTTGTTGTTCTTTTCCAATGGGAAGTAAAGGAAAAGAAATCAAAGGAAAGAGATTCTCCTCGTGACACGTGTCGTGATATTCCACCATATCGTCCTTCTGAATATCCCTTTTGTCTGGCGCAAAAATAAAGGAATATTCCCTTTTCCTTTTCCTTTCCCGTTTTCCAATTATGAATTGCATTACAATTTTACAGGCTACACCCAACATTAAAAATTGTGTTCAAAACAGAAACCGAGGTGCTAAAGAAAGCTCTGCCTGCCCCAGTTGCAATTGGCTCCTCTTTTTTGCTGAAATCCATGTAATGCCTATACCCTAGACCTAGTCCTACTAGGCTCTAATCCACTCTGTTTCTGTCTAACCAAATGACAACAACTTAATTGCAGCTTCAAATTGATTGATATTTTGTGGAGAGACAAATCGCTTTTTCCTAATTTCATACATCAATTTTCCTTTAATCATGTTGTGTTATGTTACGTCATGTGAGAAGAGAGATAAGAAACATGAGATACATGCGTTGCCTTCGTTACACCAAGTTTTCTCCACAAGCTTGTTTTTTTGTTTTATGTGCGCACGTGCATGGCCATGGTCTAAAACAGAATGGAACCTTAAGTCGTTGTTGGCATATAACACATCGGTCTTCTAATTCCTTGTTGTTTTTGAGTTTTTGATGCTTAAAAATTACAATACATGGGCCAAAAGTGAGATCCCCCGACTAGCCTATCTTATATTTATCACAAGCGTTTGGACACCAACTTTACTATGAAAAGCCCAGTTCTTAGGTTAGGACCACTATTTTTTCACAGAAATTCCCTCTCCACTAGTCCAAGGCTCAACTTTTCCCATGGTATGTTCATGCATAATTAAAAGGCCTCAGATGCTGCTGTATATCATCATAATGTCAAGAATCCAAATGTTCTTTTTTTTTGTTTTTTTGGAAAGAATTAAATATATATATAGAGAGAAATTCTCCCATGCGAACGTTATTATCGTGTGAACATTATGTCTTTTCTACTACCAATCTCTATTTCCTCCCTCTTTACAATGGTATCCACACGATAATAACGTGCGAACATCCGAATAAGAGAATAACTATATAATAATTTTAAGGTTTTCAAATTATCGGAACGCTGGCTCCAACCTAAACTATATAAGAAAATTCATCTTACTACCAACTGAAAGGTGACATGTTTACTATATCATGTAACAAATTAATATATTAAGTACATTTTAAATAAAGTCCTACTGATTTAGCATATGCTATAAAATACGACAAGGATGGAGTCCTAATCAGTCTTTCTCCTCAGGATGACTAAAAGTCTAGTTTGAAACAGGAATATTACGAAAATGTCAGATTCTATTCCATTCTATCTATCCACTAATTCATCTAAATCTACTTTATTTTTCAGGAACTAACTAATTATATATGGCATATAAGAAAGAGAGAGAGATATATATATATATATATAAATTCAAAGTTGCTTCTTCAACTTGTTTCAAATCGGAGGCCGAAAATAATATTTATAAAAATAAAAAGAAACGAATGAGCTTTATCTGAAATATTCTTAAATGTATAATTAACTTTGCGGAAAGGCAATGAAAGGTACATTTACGGGCTGTGAGGTTTGTCAATGAGAATCACGAACTAAATATTTCTGATGATAAATGGATTGTTCTACTAAATTCTCTAATAATTCCACTTCTTTTTGGCATCAGAATTTCATAATTATTGATTATTGCGAGCTAGCTGGTGGATATATATACTAAATTCTCTGTTGATTTCTCAGTGTACAATCACAAAGTACTACTCTTACTCTAAGAAGGAAAATTCTTTTCCTTAAAAAAAACCGAATATAAATTAAGAGGATTTTTCTTATTAAGAGGGTCGATAATATACTAAACTCATACACATTATCCAGATGTTAGAACTCGAACCCAAAATATGTTAGAACTCGAACCCAGAATCTTTCTTGTGGGAGCAATTACTCCAAACCACCACTGCACTCTTGACCAAAAATATTATGGAGTGAGTGCATAAGGCATCTGAATAAGCATGAGAGAGTGGAGTATGGAATTAGAATCGCTTTGGTCGGCCTCTTAGCAAAAGATATGAACTACTTAATAATAATAATAAATACAAAAAAATAAAGGCACACTTAGAGTGTTTATGAAGACACGAATTTCGAACATATATCTTAAATATATATTATATATGCTGTTGACCTATTGTTGTCTTAAGATTCATCACAAAGCATTCTATCAATTTCTTTCCTTTGGTAAAAGAAAATGTGCACGTAGAGGTATATGCATCAACACAAGTTGTCAAATATCTAGTGTCATATATATATATATATATATATATATATATATCAAAATCATTTAAAATTGCCCTTATTTAAGAAAAATTCACAAAATATATAAAATAATAGTTTACCAAAGTGTAAATAAATAAATAAATAAATATATATATATAAATTTCATGCCCAACAAATTTTCTCTATAAATAAAAAATAAAGTGAAAAAAGAGAAGCCTATGTCGAGATTATGGGCCAAGGGGAGCTTCTATAATGAGGAGACTATGTGAGGAGGTTATTTGAGGAGGCCCATCTCACCATCAAAAGGGGTGTGGACCCCCAATGCACCCCCCCATGTCATTTGTTTTTAGTTGTTGATGGTGAGATTTCACTTCCTCACTCAACCTCCTCACTCAACCTCCTCATTCTAGCCTTTCCGATGGGCCAAGAGACCATCATGATTGAAGCCCGGTTTCAATCTAAGGCCCAAGTTAATAATGTCAGTATTGACGATAATGCCCTTTCCCGCTTCGTGTGGCAACGACAACCATATCCTCCTCTTGTTTACTCTGCTTCATGCCTGGCCATGGCTTCTCTACCGTACACCACAATTCCAAACCCACAACTCTCACTTTCCAAACAGTCTATTCCAATTGAACTCCACAAACAGTCTCAAGCCCATTTTACAAAACTTCAAGAAAATGCAAAAACCCATCAAATCTTGTACCAGTCTTACTTTAGCCACATGTCCTCTCTGTGCAAACAAGGCCAAATTCAACAGGCTGTGGACTTGTTCGTTGAAATGGAACTCAAAAACCTCCAAGTTGGCCCTGAAATTTACGGCGAGCTCCTTCAGGGGTGTGTCTACGAGCGAGCTCTTCATACGGGTAAGCAAATTCACGCTCGGATTATAAAGAAAGGTGGCATCTTTGCCATAAATGAGTACATTGAAACCAAGTTGGTGATTTTCTATGCAAAATGCGATGTTCCGGAGGCTTCAAATCGTTTGTTCCGAAGGGTAAGATTAAAAAACGTTTTTTCGTGGGCTGCTGTTATTGGATTGAATTGTAGGATGGGTTTCTATCAAGAGGCTTTGCTAGGTTTTAGGGAAATGCAAGAAAATGGATTGTTGCCTGATAATTTTGTTGTTCCAAATGTATTGAAGGCTTGTGGTGCTTTAGAGTGGATTGGGATTGGGAAAGGGGTTCATGGGTATGTGGTGAAGTTGGGTTGTAGCGGGTGTGTCTTTGTTGCTAGTAGTCTTGTGGATATGTATGGAAAATGTGGGGTTGTAGAAGATGCAAGGAAGGTTTTTGATGGTATGCCTGAAAGAAATGTAGTCACTTGGAATTCGGTGATTGTGGGTTATGTACAAAATGGTTTGAATGAGGAAGCTATTAAGGTGTTTTATGAGATGAGGGAGGCAGGTGTTGAACCCACTCACGTTACGGTATCGAGCTTACTTTCTGCTTCAGCTAATTTAGGTGCATTACAAGAGGGTAAACATGGACATGCACTAGCAGTTGTTTGTGGGTTAGAACTAAATACCAATTTGGGCAGTTCTCTTATTAACTTTTATTCCAAGGTTGGTTTGATTGAGGATGCTGAAATGGTTTTTAGCAAGATGCTTGAGAAAGATGTGGTCACATGGAATTTGCTCATATCTGGGTATGTGCAAGTGGGGGAGGTTGACAAAGCACTCAATGTTTGCCGTCTAATGAGACTTGAAAACTTGAGTTTTGATTCTGTGACTCTTGCAACCTTAATGTCTGCTTTTGCAGATGCACGAAGTTTGAAATTTGGTAAGGTGGGACATTGCTATTGTATAAGGAACAACCTTGAATCCGACGTGGTTGTTGTGAGTAGCATTGTAGACATGTATGCCAAATGTGAGAAAATCGATTGTGCAAAACGAGTTTTCAACTCTTCATTTATAAGAGATCTTGTGCTGTGGAACACAATGCTGGCTGCTTTTGCAGAATTGGGTCATAGTGGTGAGGCCTTGAAAATGTTCTATCAGATGCAGCTAGAAAGTGTGCCACCAAATGTGATATCATGGAACTCTCTGATTTTAGGATTTCTGAAAAATGGCCAAGTCAATGAGGCTAAAGATATGTTTTGGCAGATGCAGTGCCTTGGAGTCCAGCCTAACCTGGTCACTTGGACTACACTGATCTCTGGTTTGGCTAAGAGTGGTTTTGGCTATGAAGCGATTCTGACATTCCAGCAGATGCAGGAAGCTGGAATTAAACCCAATGTTGTGAGCATTATTGGTGTACTATTGGCTTGCATAAATATCGCGTCGTTGCAGAATGGAAGAGCCTTACATGGGTATTTGATAAGGCATTCCCTCTACACTTCAATTCCAATTGCAACCTCTTTAGTGGATATGTATGCTAAATGTGGTAATATCGATCAAGCAAAGAGGGTGTTCGATATGATTGAACACATGGAGTTGCCTGTCTATAATGCAATGATTTCCAGTTATGCGTTACATGGTCAAGCTGTGGAAGCTCTTGCACTATATCAGGGCTTAAAGGAAGAAGGTGTAAAACCAGATGATATAACCTTTACTAATGCCTTATATGCATGCAGCCATGCCATGATGGTGAATGAAGGTTTGGAGCTTTTCTTTGATATGGTATCCAATCACAATATAAATCCAAGTATAGAGCATTATGGCTGTGTGGTTAATCTTCTTTCTCGGTGTGGCAATTTGGATGAAGCTTTTAGGCTTATTGGCACGATGCCATACAAGCCCGATGCACAAATGCTGGGATCATTACTTGCTGCTTGTAGAGAACACAATAAAATAGAACTGGAGGAGTATTTATCCAATGAACTACTGAAATTACAACCAGACAATTCTGGGAACTATATAGCAATGTCGAATGCATATGCAGCTGCAGGAAGATGGGATGAGGTAACAAAGGTGAGGCAGTTAATGAAAGAAAGGGGCTTGAGAAAGATTCCGGGATGCAGTTGGATTCAAATCGGAGAAGAACTTCATGTGTTTGTTGCTGGTGACATATCACACCCTGAAACTGAAAAAATCTATGTGACATTGGCTTTGTTGGGAATGGAAATGTCTTTTCGCTGATGTGTTCCTTCAAATCATACTCGTTATTTTATTCTGATTAATGAACTTTGCGGTGGTGGTTGCCTATCTGCTATGACCCTCAGCCCTTGTCCAGGCTCCAACTGAGCACCCACCTATGATGAATATATCCACTTTTGAATGGAGAGTTCTCAGAGATGGCCATGCTTGTAAAATCTGAAATAAGACTACGGTGTACGGTGCAAACAAGTCAAGGGCAGTGCCAAATAATAAATTCATGAAGACCAAGGTTTGACTGGGAAGAAAAGGCTCTGAGCACAAGTTGCAAAATGAATTGAAAAATGTTGAAGATTTGTAAAAATTCTTCATGGCAACTTTCCCTGGGTGGGATCTGTAATTAGTTGGTGAACATAAAATTGTTTTTCAGAAGCATTTTCTTTTTCTTTTCTCTGTTCGACACGACAGTTTAAAATTACATTTTCTGTTTACTTCCTCTGTATCTAAAATTTCCTTCATTTAAGTGTGGTACATGTAAACGTTACTCGTTGTGAAAAGGCCTACAACCACGACTCTATGTTATACTTGGGTTTAAATAATAAGCAGTTGCCGAACAAAGATGTACAACAAACCAACCATGTTACTTAAAGTTCCTGACCGTGACCACCAAATATAATTTCCTTTTCTGGGGTTTTACTGATGTCTCTGAATCTGTGATGAAGGTGGGAAAGCATGTGAGAAAAGCTTTCCTTGGGTCACCACCACCACGTGATACCACCTTTGTTTTGAGCACAAATTTCATCCCTTGTTTCTCAAGGGAACGCTGAAATTGCTTGCGGATTTCCGAGTCCATTGTTGGGACGATATCAGGTCCAAACTCAACAACAGTTACCTCGGAACCAAGTCTACGCCACACTGAGCCCATCTCTAGGCCAATATATCCTGCTCCAACCACCACAAGTTTCTTTGGGATTTCTGTCAAAGCCAGAGCTCCAGTTGATGATACTATTTTCTTCTCATCAATGGCAATCCCAGGTAGAGATTTGACATCAGAACCAGTGGCAATTATGATATTTTTGCCTTTTACGACTGTATTCTCACCATCAATGGTGTCCACTGAGATTTCGGAAGGGGAGATGAACTTTCCATAGCCTTTAACATAAGTGACCTTATTCTTCTTGAAGAGCCCTTCAATTCCTCGAGTAAGATTAGAAACAGCTTTATCTTTTTGGGACATCATGGCAGGTAAATCTACCTCAACAGAGGAGAACTTAACACCGTGGTTGTGAAATGCATGCTTAGCTTCATGGTACATGTGAGAGGAATGAAGAAGCGCCTGGACACAAAAGCAGATGACATTAGAGATAAATTTCACACGCAAATAATACCAATACATTTAATTTTTTTTTTTTTTTTTGGTCTGAACCATGAGGTGGTCCTGAATGGGCCCCAACTATGGGTGGCACCTTTAAACTTTAACCACAACCCAGACTAATCCCCACTCACACCGGGTCGGCCCATAAGGGGTAAAGTGTTGGCCAAAGTGGTGACTCCGTACGAGAGCAGGGATCGAACCCCTGACCTCTCTTAAGGAATGAGAGTGCCGAACCACTCACACCAACCACCTTGGTTTGTGACTAAGCTTTTTCAGTGTCACTTATATATGATCATTTTGAAGACTCATTTTATGTAGTGTCACGCTCACACTCACACTCACACCTCCCTCGCTTACATCCCAAGTCTTCTGAGAAATGACAGAAAATTGGGCCATATCTGTCAGAGAGAGTAGCCCAAACCCAATATATATATAATTGGCAAACTTGCTCAGTTTCTAATTTGCCAAAATCATTGTCGAATTTGATAAATCACAACAATTCCAATATATTAAGCAGAGCGTCATGTCTAAACCTTATTATTTAACTTTATCCTCACTACACTAACACAAGGAATATAATCTTTGAAGCATCTCTGTCAAAAAAGGTCACACCTAAATTAAAATAATAAATAGGCATAAATAATAAAGAAAAGTGATTAATTAAAGGGTAGCAAGTCAATGTCATGGCCCCGAAAGAACTCCAAAAACCTCAGCACATGTACAGATGGTCCACATTTCATATATGTGTTTTACATGTGTCTTATGAAATCATCAACTATCTAGCCAAGTCATTAGTGTGTTTCATAGTTCAAATCTTGCTGATTAGTTGCATGAACACCTTTTTGCTAATGTAATTAGTGCTACTTAATTGAAGATTAAACCAGAGACAAAACTGCAAGAGGGGGTGGGGGGAATCTTTGTTGCTAATAATGAATTGCCCACTGCCAATACTGCCATTGTGAAAAAAGAAAAAGAAAAGTCAAATCTGTGCTCCTGCTAACGTACGCTTTCGGTGCAGCAAACTATGAAAATGTGGCTCGCGGATTCACGTGCCTAGACCTTAGATATTATTCAAGTTTTTGGAGGGCAATTCCGTGCTCAAGGTTAGGGTTTCTATCTTAGTGCTAATAAATGGAATTTTGACTTTTTAAAATAAATGAAAATTGTTTAAAAGGGAGAGAGGTAGGAATTTAAATTTCTAAAATTAAGGATCATTCAAAGCAAGAGGGTCCAAATAGTCAAGCTTTGTCCAACCACCAGAGAAAGAAAGAAAAAAAGGTTAGAAGTTTGACAATTTCCTTTTGGTATCAGCAATTTTGAATTTATATTATTTGAAATAATACAACAACTTTTTTGATTTAATTTTTAATGGCTGAAGGTGGTCTGAAATTCTTAAATTTCCGTTTTATTTGCTTAATTTTTTTATTATAATTTTAATTGAGGTCGAGAATGATCTCTTTCATTATCAAGAAGGAAAAATACAATTAGACTAATAGAAAATTGGTGTTGTGACAAATGGATCAAATAGATTACTCTATACCACACTGCACTAGCGAGTAGCGGAAACACAAATTTAGAAGGGGCGCGTGAAGGGGATGCTTCTTGCTTCTGGAGGAAGATGGAAAAAAAGACGAAAAGTTTTTAAAGAGAAAAGGGGGTCCCCCACTGTCCCTGTGCCCTGCCTGATGATACTGGATGGATGGATGGATGGATGAGGGAAAGAGAGAGGTGGGGCCCTTTAGTCTCGTGAATCAACGGCTGACATCTACACCGCCGGGGTCAACACTATCTTCTCTGCTCGTCAGAGACCCAGATAATAATAAAAGAAAAAGAAAAAAGAAAGAGAGAGGGATCGAGTGCATAAAAAAGCCGGCCAGGCTGTTCCCCACCCCCACCCTATTCCTTTGCTGGGGCCGGTAAAAGGAGACACATTACGCCACGTGGCAAGCCCTCCTCAAAACCCACCTAAATGATCCCCCACAACTACATTCTTCTACAACGCCGATCCCGGACTCAACGGTGCAGATATTCAATCATTTTGAACTCCCTCTGATTAATTACTCCTTGGTGGGACCCCCAGCTAGTACGGTGTACAATCATCGGCCACTCTCTTCTTTCTTTTGTTTCATTTTGAGTGCTGCTGCTCGACATATTGGGTCCAGACAGTCCAGTATTTGTTTGGAGTTTTAAATGTTTTTTTTAAGAGGAAATTTTCAAAAACCCAGTTGGCTATACGTAGTACTATTTTGCTATTTTTAACTAATAATGTTACTATTTTTAATTAATAATGTTATATCACGTGAAAGTGTTATTACGTGTGTCATATTATTAGCTACGTGTGTCATATTATTAGCTGATGATAGCAAAATAGTATTATCCCCATTTCATGGAAATCTTTCTCATATAGAGATGGATCCCCTAAAATTAAAAAGGGAAAAATAAAAATACTATGTGAAAACAAGAAAAGCCACGTGTAAAGAGAGAGGATTGTGAATAATAGAATTATGAAAAAAAGAAAGAATTAAATAAACCCAAAGTCCATCGAATGGTCAATTCCAATCAGCTCATGGAACTCAGACCCCCACCTCAATCCCCCAACTTCATAAACAATTCAAACCATCTCTCCCACCTATAAAAATAATTGCAAAAACACAAATTCAAAAATTGAAAGAAAAAAAAAAACCCAAATTAAAAATACAAAAACTAAAGTTTAAAAAAAAGGGAAAAAAAAAAACAGATATCGGACCAACCAGACCCAATACCCCACAATTAACTATGCACTTTAGTTCCTCCCTCCTCCTACTTGCGCACTGTGCACGTTTTTAGGAGTCCCACCACAAATGAAATAACCCACATTGCCTCTTCCTCTTTCAATTTCAGACCCTTTACATTTTTGTTTTCTTTTTGGGATTGACAATTTTCTAAGGTGTGGGTGTCACGCTGGGTGGGGTCCTGGACTCTGCGGGAGGCGTATGACCGCTCGATTCTTTCGAAGGGTCATCGGACGACTGCCGTAAGCCATCATCGGTCTCGCCCCGGTTCATATCCTCAATCATACGGACCCCCTCTTGCATGGCGGGTCTCTGATCGGGAACAGTAGACACGCAAGCCATTGCGATCTGCAAAAGCTGAACCATCTCTTCCTCAATGTTGTGGTACCTCATGAGCTCCACGTCGAACACCTCGGCGGTCCACTCCTCCCGGACAACCGACTGGACCCACCGGGGCAGGTCGATGCCCTCCTCGCCCAGCGAGGCTTGATTGGGCGCTTTCCCGGTTAATAGCTCTAACAGCAACACACCAAAACTGTACACGTCGGATTTGAAAGTGACCTTGCGAGTCTCAACGACCTCTGGCGCGCGATAGCCCGCTACCCGATTGGGAGGGGTGGAGGTTCCGAATAGCGGGTTGAGCCCGAAGTCCGAAACCGAAGCGTCGTGCTCGGGTCGGAGAAGGATGTTTGAGGATTTGATGTTCCCGTGGACCACCTTGCCTGACACGTGGAGATGCGCTATGCCTCTCGCAGCGCTTAGCGCGATTTTCATCCGGTTGTCCCAGTCGAGCGGCGTGCGGCCTGAGCCTCTGCTTCCTGCAATGAAAATTACGGGAAATTCAAGTTCAGGCCACCAAATTATTTGTTCTTTAAAAAAAAAAAAGATTAAGAAGAAAATCGGTCGTTCTCTTTTTGGGCCTGCGGGGGGCTTTTTCTAAAAAGAAGTAAAAGCTTTGACACAGAAAAATGAAAGGGAAAGTAAAGTAAAATGATGTCGGTGACCACTGGCCACCACTCTGGCGAATCATGACGACCTACCTGTTCATGTTTTTTCCCTACCAAATTGGGATTTATTTATTTATATTTTATTTGTTTAAAAATAAAAATAAAAAATAAAAACAGAGGCATGAATGCGTAGCTTGCACACTAAGAATGTTTGCCCAGAAACAGCAATATTGCAGTGGAATCAGCGCAGAGGGCGGTGATTAGAAAACGGAAACAAAAAAAAAACAGAGGTTTTTCTGGGATCAAAGATTTGCGCCGTGAATGATTCCACATGCCTTTTCAATTTCTTATTTATGCAATGTAAATAAAACCCAATATTCTTCCAATAATAAATATAAATAAAACCATAATTGACAATTTTAAATTTGAAGACCGGACTGGAACAGCTCAAGCTCAAGCTCCACTCTAATCTAATCTAATCTAATCTAATCTATAGGGAAACAACAATGCAGGTACTTAATGTTATATACCTGTGAGCACTACATTTATTCCCTCCGACTTTATACCAATTAAAAATTATGCCAAGAATTCAATCAATGACCCAAGATTTAAAACAATTAAAATTGAAAATTGAAGAGCAAAATGGGGAATCGAAATCGTACCGTGAAGAAGAGCAGACAAGCTACCAGCGGCCATGTAATCGTAGACGAGCAATTTCTCGTCCTTGGAGAAGTAAAACGCCCGCAGAGGCACCACATTATCGTGCTTAATCTTACCCAGAACCTCCATTTGCATCTCGAACTCTCTTTTCGTCACCACCACGTCCTTCAGCCTCTTCACCACCACCGTCGTCCCTTCTTCCAGCACCGCCTTGTACGACGTCCCCACGCTTCCCTTCCCCAAAACCTCCGCCGAAGCCCTCAACAGGTCCTCCAAGTCAAAGCTGTAGACCCCACCGTCGAAGAACACTAGCTTGTTCCTCTCCGCCTCCATGGACCCACCCGTGATATCGTCCTTCGACGACGACGTTCCGGCCTCCGCCACCGCCACCGACCGTGTCGCCACCGGCGGCTTCGGGGCCTTGGCCTGCTGCTGACGACGTCGTTTCCGGATGCAAAGCAGGAGAACGAGGAGCAACAGAAACAAAGCCAGAGCGGACCCCACGGCGATCGCAACAATGGCGGCGGTGGATAGCTTCTTGGACTTCTTGTGGACTGGGATTACGGGCGGGGTCTCGGGTGATGGAGCGGGTGCTGGGAAAAACGGGTTGCACGGTGGAAGCGGCTTGCCGCAGAGATTTAAG